CTTTCTCCCTATGAATCTGGGTTATTCTGGCCTTGTATCTCTGCAGATGAATTTTAAAAAGGATGTTATTAATACTTTTGCGTGCGTGCGTGTGTGTGTCAGTGTTCTAGGGTCCACAGGGTCCACAGGGTCCCGTGTCTCTTCCTGTGTTTTGATCTTTTTGCAAATAATGTTTTTCTAGGTTTTAAGGCTTAACTCCTGCCACACCATTAAAATATTTTCTTGATTTCTCTAATATTTGGATAATTAATGGTTGTAATGATTCTTGATCTTTGAATAGATTGTAAAAATGCTTGCAGAGCCCAAGGGGTCAGATTTTGCTGGTTAGCATGGTCCATGTGTATGTCGACAAATGTTTTTTGCAAGCAAGAATAATAATGTCATGACAATAGGCATGTGTTTTATTTTCTGTCAGCGTGTGGTTCATTGTTTCTAGTGATAAAAAACTGTCTAATCGCACCGTTTTGTGTTATATATGCTGTTTCTCAGATGTGGTGTGCATGCTTTTCAGAAAACCAATATCCAGAGTGCGGTTGTGGGACATATGACAAAGGCAGTAAACTGACTGGATACTGGAAGTAATGTCTATTGGTAAAATGCTTATATTCTGCTTTGTACTCTAGTTTCTTATTCATTTGCCACAATCAGTCAGAATTGTTTTATTGACTGACTGAGCGGTTCCTGGCCAGAATGAGCTGAACTGTTGGTTCAGACTTACTGTGCCTGTCAGAGGTTTGGCTACATCATGGCTGCTTCTGAAAGTGCATAATCTGAGTAGGTACTTCTTTTGAAAAAGTAATTATTTAGCAATTATTAAAAAAAAAAGTATGTTCCATATAGTATGAATGTGTGTAGCAAGAATGGAATCCGGGCGTACTACATTTTTATGATGTTATGCTGAATAAAAAAATTTAAAAAAGGTTGTGACTTTTTATCTCACAATTCTGCCTTTTTTTCTAGCAATTGTGAGTTTACATCTCACAATTCTGCCTTTTTTCTCAGAATTGCATGATATAAACTCGCAATTTTGATTTTTTTCCCTCACAATTCTGAGGAAAAAAAGGCAGAATTGAGAGTTCTGAGAAAATTATTTATCACAAATGTTAGTTTATTTCACAAAGTCAGAATAAACTTGCAATTCTGACTTTTTTTCCTCAGAAAAAGTTTGTATCTTGTAGTTCTGACTTTTTTTCTCGTAATTGCACATTTTTTCTCAGAATTGTGTGATATAAACTCACAATTGGGAGTCAAAGTCAAATTCTGAGGGGAGAAAAGACTGATATTTTTGCAGAATTGAGTTTATATTTCGTGCAATAATTTGTTATAAAGTCAGAACTGCAAGATATAAACTCAATTCTGAGGGAAAAAATTACAATCGCAATTGTGACTTTATTACTCAGAATTGTGACTATTTCTCAGAATTGAGAAAAAAAATTACCTTTTTTATTCAGTGGCGGAAATGGGCTTTCATAGTTTTTTTGCCTGCCATTTGGTAGGGAATTATGCATATTTGAACATGCCTGTGTGAACTAATACTCTTAACCACACCCCCAAACAATGGTATGCTCTTAACCACACCGCAACACTATATCACACTTCGACTTGAAGCGGCGCTGCGCAGTCCAATCAGTGTATAACATCGAATGTGTGTAGCATGAAGTACTGCAAGAGCGTTTCATAAGCAGTAAGCATACAGAGCCATCTGCTCTCTAGCATAACATATATAAGAAGTCATTGTGCTATTAAAAAAACATCATGTAAGTTTCAGAACTCAAAACATTCTCGTTAGTCTAAAAACTGAAGCTAAACTGCCAAGATGACAGGTTGTGGAATGTGCTACTTTATGACGTAATAGTGTGGCTAAACCCTGCCTCCGCAGAAGATCAACGCCTGCTTTTACATCACTGACTGTTTAGCCCCGCCCACCAATTCAAGCACGTAGTAGGTAAATGACAAGAGCGGCAAACGCAGGTCTATGCAGAAACCAAACGATGAACTTAATTTTTAATGAAGTGCCAGACCATGTCAGTAAGAACTTGGTCCTTTGTTTACTTCATTTACTTAATTTGTTTACAAACAATGCACAATTGGACGCAGAACTTTCAGAAAGATTGAAACTAAAAGACAATGTTTTGCAGACTATATTGGATCCGACAGTGATGTCATACCACACAAGTGTTAGTAACTGTTTTCATTACATGATCACTATTGCTTGGTCTGTTATTACAGATTATCGTTTGATATGTACTGAGTGTTTATGCGTTTTTAACCTAAAACACTGCAGCGTCCATCTGTGAAGGATGTAGCCTGTCAAACATACACAACTATTAGCCAATCATAGCAGTGTGCATTTACTTCCGAGTCAACAATCCACCACGCCTATTCAAACAGAGCGTTCTGATGAGGGGGGTTAAAAACAAGACAGAAAATAGTTTATTACTTCTAAATTATGATGTTTTTTTTAAATGTCAAAATCTTGATAACATTATAAGTGGACCTCAGAGAACAGTACAAAATAAAAAACAAAGGCTGTTAATGACCCATTTAAGCAGTACATATAGTATTGAATTAAAAGTGTTTCTGTTGCTACATAAAACCTTCTCAGTTGTCTGTATATTTGACAAATATTGCATCTAATCCGCTTCATCTGTGATAAAGTATGCAAACGCTGCTCAAGCATCACCATAGAAAGCAGAAAGTGACTTCACGTCTCTATAAGCAGCAAATCTCATTGATCAGTTGAAGTTGAAGTCGAGCACTTAATTTCACCCTCTCAACCACACCTCCAAACAATAGCACACCCTCTTTTACAGTGTTTAACAGGTGTCTTTATCTTAGTGTTGTGACAAAATGGCCTGGCTGTGGAAGAAACCAGAGCAGAATGAACTAGTAGAAATTAGAGCAGTAATGTTTTATTCTCTTGTACGGTCGTGGTCAAATCATCCACTGCTGTGATGCTGCAGTGAAAATGCTCTTACTGTACAGCTCAGAGAGAGAGAGAGAGAGAGAGTGAACGGGTGTATGTGTTTTTGTGTGGTGAGATGAATATATGAATGGTGATGCTGACTCATAAAACAGTATGTGAGAGAGTGTGTGTGACTGTGGCGTTAAAATACACTCATCCATGTAGTGCACTAGATTAACACATGCTGAGGTATGTGTGTGTGTTTGCTTAGTTGCTGGAGTGAAAATGGTGGCATATGGTCAAAAAACCATAGAAACAAATTATAGTTATCCTCTGCCTAATCTCCGTTAGCCCCTCCTCAATATATATCAGCCCCTCCCCTAGCTCATTTAGTCCCTCCCCATTTGTTTCAGGCTAGTTTCTTGCTCATCCAGTACTAATAGCTGCTTACACTAAAGTTCACTTTTTACAGTCATCCTTTTGTTCATATTATGTATATATATATGTTCATTGAAGTTGCAAGTTAAAATACAATGTGAATGTTTCCTTTTTTGAAGTGAAAAGCTCTGAGAGAAGGCCATTGCTGATCTCAGATCAGAGGGAAAGGGGATCCCCTGGTGTCAGTGGTGATGCAGTTGCAGAATGTGATTAAATCTCAGTTCATGGATTCCAAATCGAACAGTTTAAGTGGCTGATGGCTCAAACTTTAGGAAGTTTACATGAGGTGCAGATTTGATCTGTGTGAATGAATTTGGTGATTTTCCTCGACACCTAGTCTTTGCTTTATGTGAATTCAAGTTTACAAGTGTGTGTATGTATAGCTCTTTTTCAATTAGAAAAAATTAGTGTCAGAGTATCTCTCAAGAGAGTGAATCCATTGTGGGTACTTTAGGATGAGTAACTGAGATTCTTGCTTTTGAAAGTCCTTTATCCAGAGCATGGCTTTACTACGGTAATTAGAAATGGTGCTTTAGGAGAAAAGAGTCATCGAGAAAAGCCCACTTTGACTTCCTATAATTTAACAGGAGTTAGATAACACAGACAACAACTCTCCAGTTCTCTTTTTACTCTCATAACATACTTTACTGAATCCTAATGATCAAAACCCAGCACTTTCTCTTATATAAAAGACATCTAAAGTATGTGATTTCTGCACCACTAGCATCACAGCATCAATCTACAAAAAACTACATATTAAACTGGGATAGGAGAAAATATTTTATCATATATAAACTCACTGATGTCATTCTGACATGACATTTCACACTAATCCAGATTTTGGATTATTCAGTGGGCTGAACCATTTATTAAAAAGAGAAGGGGGAGAGAGAAAACTGAGTACAGGATGGGAGAAACTCCCCGTTCTGTGGTTTATTACTGTGATCTCACTCTGTCTCTCATTCCTGACACACACACACTTCAGTAGGACAGTTCTCTTTGGATTTTACACTCTTGGACTGCAGATGGAGATGAGATACAGTCCTGCAGGGCTGCCATGTGTGATGAATACGCTGTTGCAATGGGCCAGGATTATACTGGAATGCCAATATGTAAAATATAAAAGAACATTGATTGGCTTTTCACACCTGAAATTGTTTACCAAGGAGTTATTACATATAAATACCAGGGGTGTTTAATCTTGGGTTGCCAGGCTTTGAGATTTCACACTGTACATTTGTAAACCCATTTGTGGATGGATTTGATGGTCTTATTTGCATATTTACTAGCTTAATAACATTGATTGGACAAGTACAACACGTGACAAGCACACAAACTGTTTTAATTCCTTGTCCATCTGGCTGTGGGCTTTGTTGTCCCTGTGGACTTCTATAAAATAAACTCTCTTAAATGACTGAAAATCTGGGTCTGGGACAAGGGTAAAACAACAAAATCTTTTATTTAAAATTTTTATTTTTTTTGGCTTTTCAAATCTACCCTAAAAGGCATTAGAAAAGTTGCCAAGTGAATGAAGGTATGATTAAAAAACTATTTTAAATATGACATCAAAAAAATCTTTATTAATACAGAACCAAACATCACAGAACTCCGCTTTCTCACACTCTCTCATTCACTGTCTCCTTCTCTTCGTCTACAGGCTCCAACTATTCCAGTCCGTCGTTGGCTCCAGTCCCCAGTCTGAATGAGGATGAGCGTGTGGGGGGCGGGGGTGGGGTGCTGGGTCTTGCACCTGAACACATTCCCACCCCTGGCGCCCCCATCAGCTGGCAGGCAGCCATCGACGCGGCACGGCAGGCCAAGCTGATGGGCACCACTGGAGCCCCGATTTCCACTGCGAGCTCCACGCAGCGCAAACGCCAGCACTACACCAAACCCAAGAAACAGGCCAGCACTGCCTCCACGCGCCCACCCCGAGCCCTTCTCTGCCTAACTCTTAAAAACCCCATCCGCAGGGCGTGCATCAGTATCGTGGAATGGAAGTATCCTTTACTGAACTCTGACCTGCTTGTTATATATATATATACACACTACTGTTCAGAAGTTTGGGGTCGGTAACATTTTGAATGTTTTGAGTCTCTTATGCTCACCAGGACTGCAATAAAAACAGTACTATTATGAAATATTATTACAAATTAAAATGAATGTTTTCTACTTTAATACATTTTTTCTAAAATATAATTAATTTTTGTGATGGCAAAGCTGCATTTTCAGCAGCCATTACGCAAGTTTTCAGTGTCACATGATCCTTCAGAAATCATTCTAATATGCTGATTTGCTGGTCAAGAAACTTTACATATTATTAATGTTGAAAACAGTTGTGCTGCTTAATATTTTTTAAGGAAATTTTGTGGACTACCGTTGTTTTTAGAGTTCTAGAGTACAGCATTTTTTGAAGTAGACCTTATGTGACAATGTAAACATTTTTACGGTCACATTTGATCAACTGAATGCATCCTTGCTGAATAAAGGTATTGATTTCTTTCAGAAATGTAAATATTACTGACCCAGAACTATATATATATATATATATATATATATATATATATATATATATATATATATATATATATATATATATATATCTGTGCTGTAATTCACCACATATTTCATTTAAAAGAGCGCATTTGAATCTGACAAGCCAGTATACTGATGCAGGGCCTCAAAGTGCCATCACATTAAAAAGCACACAATACTTATGAAAATACTTATTTTTTTATCTGTAATGCGGCAGATATGTTCCTCCCAGAGCGACATCCAAAAAAGTCTCATATTGAGTTTGTGACTGTTGCTTTAGCAGGTAGCTGAGCATACAGTTGTTTTCTGAATGTTAATTAATTAGTGTTACAGTTACAGACTACTCATAAACTCAGTAATGTAGATGACTTTAAGGCTGAAATTATTGATCTCCAGGTCATACATGTATTCTTTTCATATTTTGATTCGCAGCAGTGCTTATCAGTAAGTGTTTATTAATTGTATGATCTGTTTGTTATTATTACAGGCAGCGTGTTATGGCATCTTTGAGTTGTTGTAAAAATGCAATGTTGCATGAAGCAGTACCAAAATATAAAAGCCCTCCAAAAAAGTCCCTAAAAAAAGAAGAATGAATTTCTTCAGCATGATATGTTATAGTTGTGACCGTCATTCCCCCTTTGCTGCATTACAGGTGTAAATACACTTTTTTGTGTTTTTTTATGCCACTACCTTCTACAAAGGGTTAAATAGAGTTGAGCTTTGATGAGTCATTCAAGTGCACCCCTGAAATGAATTTATACAGGAGACTGTAGGACAGTGTGTTCCCCTTCCTCTCTTTCTTCCTATTTTTTCCCCTCTCTCTCACGGTTTTATGTAATCATTTCTGCCCACAAGAGACAGCGATAGGCCCCTTACCAGGAAAATATGTTAATGAGGATTGATAGGTTGAGTAAAATGCTTCATTCATCAGGAAACAAGAGATCCAGCTCCCATTCACAGCTTCAGCCAAGAACTGATCACATCATCAAATATTTCCCCATAAATTCACAAACCGGCATGAGGGAACGACTGAACTGTGGAGACAGAAATATTTTCCCTCATTAATTTCGGTGGGATATTTTATAAAAGTTCCTGTTTTGCCGGTTCTATCCGTATGTCACCAGTCTTGCACACACTTGACTGGATCTGTATCTCCAGAGACTCCAGAGCCCATCTCTCCTGTCTTTGGCTGTGTTGCCATGCCAACAGCTCCTCTTAACAGGCTGAACAGGTCCATGCGCACACACACACACACACACAAATATTCACCCCTCCCACATGCGCACACACCAATGCACACGCATATTGACCCCTCCTACAAACACGCATTCGGTCACACACACTCACATTATGCACAGTCAAGCAGGTTTCATATATAGAAGTGTTATTTATAACCTTGTAAGACCTTTAAAGATTAAATTCAGTTTGGGTCTGCCTGCAATGGTCTGTTTTTACTCCCTTGGGGACCCGAACTACTGATCTACAAGCATGTTTATCTAAATGGGTTACAGGGTCTATGGCTCTGTAATTCTGAACTAACCCCAGAGAGCCATAACTCAAGGCCCAGACAGCAGATACAAGAGAAACATCCAGAAAAACAAGAACACATCTGTTTCTCCTCAGGACACGTGCCATGCGACTCAACACCCATCTCGGAGAAATACATTCCTGTAACAAATGATGACACAGTTTGATTGCGTTTCCAGCTGAACTGAAAGCCAAACAAACAATCTGGCCAGTGAAAAGAGAGAGGGAGGAGAGGAAGAGGGAGAGAAGGAAAATGGGAGGGGGGTGAAGATCGTTGTCTTGAAGAAGGCCAGGTTTTTGAAGAGCTTGGCCTTGCTATTAACAGGAAAGAAAAAAGATTTGAGTAGAGAGAAAAAAAGTAGAGAGGATAAGGACTCTTACACACTGTCTTGTGCACTTATACAACTTAACATGTACTGTATGTGTGTGTACTCTTCCTTTGCTTGTGTATAAAAACAAATCTTTCATTTTCTTTAACTGACTCTTCAGACCGTTTGAAATCATAATTTTGATGACTATTTTTGCAAACTGTGTGGCCTTAGCTGTCTACATCCCTTTCCCCGAGGACGATTCCAACGCAACCAACTCAAACCTGGTAAGAGACGCTCTGCCTCACAGCACAAGTCAGAAATGAGCATGTTGATGATGATTTGAGAGTGCTGATAATGATGATGATCATTATGGAATTAAGACTGTAATTATAATGTTTGTGGTGTGCTGCTGCTGATGGTAGTACTGATGAATATGCCGGTGACCGTAGTGGTGAGGATGATTATGACTTTAATGGTGATGGATGTTATGTGATATTGGTGATGATAGTGGTGGTAATGTGATTATGGTAATGGTGAGGATGATATTGGTTGTGATGGTGATGGTTATGTGATGTGATTGTGGCGATTGCAGTGAGGATGGTGATGGCTGTGACGGTGATGTAGTAGTGAGGATAATACTGGTTGTGACGGTGTTTAATTGTGATGGTGGTGGGGATGGTTATGATGATAATGTGATGATGATGGTAATTCTGATGAATGTTATGTTATAGTAATGATAATGTGATGATGGAATTAGTTAAGATGTATGAGCCAAAACTGTCTTTAAGGCCAGCTTGTAAATGTTTTAATGTTTTTATGGTTGTGATTTATTTTTGCATGTGGCTCAAAAAATGTTAAGCTTTGTAAAGAGCTTTGGTCTACAGACTGTTAAATAATGCTTTATAAATAAAGAAAGAGAAAGAAGATGATGGTAATGCGATGTTGATGATTACGGTGATGGCAGGTGATGATGGTGTTAGTGGTGTGGCTGAAGATGGTTGTGATGGTTATATGATAGTAATGATGGCGGTGATGATTATGGCAATGATAGTAGTAGTGAGGATGGTGATGGTTGTGACAATGATGGTAATGGTGAGGATAATACTGGTTGTGACTGGTAATGATGGTGGTGATAGCATTGGTGGAAATAGTTGTGGCTGTAATGGTGATGAGGGTAATGGTGATGGATATTATGTGATTGTGGTGATGGTGATGGTGAAGTTGTGGCGTTGATGATAATGGTGATGGCGGATATGTGATGATGTGTTAGTGGTGAGGATAAAGGTGGTTATGATTGTTATGGTAGTAATGATGGTGATGAGGGTGATTATGGCAATGATAGTAGCAGTGAGGATGGTGATGGTAATGGTGGGGATGGTTATGGTTGTGACGGTGGTGGTACTGGTAAGGATAATACTGGTTGTGACAGTGATTGGTAATGATGATTGTGGTGATAGCAGTGGTAGGGATAGTTATGGTTGTAATGGTGATGGATGTTATGTGATAGTGATGATAATGTGATGATGGAATTACTTAAGTTGTATGAGCCAAAAAGGTCAGCTTATTCTTTTTTTATTGTTATGTTTTTATGGTTGTGATTATTTTTGCATGTGGCTCTAAAAATGTAAATTTTTGGTCAACAGACTGTTAAATAATACTTTATAAATAAAGAAAGAGAAATATTATGATGGTAATGTTGTGATGTTGGTTATAACGGTGATGGCAAGTGATGATGGTTATGTGGTAGTAATGATGGTGGTGATGATTATGGCAATGACGGTAGTAGTGAGGATGGTGATGGTTGTGACAATGATGGTAATGGTGAGGATAATACTGGCAATGACTGGTAATGATGATGGTTGTGATATAGCAGTGGTGGGGATAATTATGGTTGTAATGGTGGTGATGGTAATGGTGATGGATGTTATGTACTGTGGTGATAATGTGATGGTGAAGTTGTGGTGTTGATGATTAGCGATGGAGGATATGTCATGATGGTGTTTGTGGTGAGGATAAAGATGGTTGTGATGGTAGCGATGATGATTGATTATGGCAATGTTAGTACTAGTGAGGATGATGATGGTAATAGTGGGGTTGGTTATGGCTGTGGTGGTAATGAATGGTGGTAATGGTAAGGACGATACTGGCTGTGACAGTGATTGGTAATGATGTTGGTGATGGTAGTGGTTGGAATAGTTATGGTTGTAATGTAATGATGATAATGGTGTAAACGAAATGATGATGGTGTTGATTATGGCGATGATAATGGGCTTTACACCACCAGAGGAACCTTTTAAAGGGGTCATATGATGCGATTTCAATTTTTCCTTTCTCTTTGGAGTGTTACAAGCTCTTGGTGCATAAAGAAGATCTGTAAAGTTGCAAAGACTAAAGTCTCAAATCCAAAGAGATATTCTTTATAAAAGTTAAGAGTCAGCCACGCCTACCTAAAACGACTCGTTCTAACACGCCCCCACATATCTATGTCACTATTTGGGTGGCGTTATGCAACTCTTCCCACATCTTCAAGCAAAGAAAGAAGGCATAACTTTTATTCTCGCTGGAGTATTGGTGCCGCCGCCGCCATGTCGTGAAGGCGCTGTGTGCTTCGTTGTGAAAGCGAAACTACTTTGTTTGGCCTTCCAAAAGAGGACGATATCGCTTCGTCATGCCTAGAGCTGATCCATGCTGGTCGCTGAGGAAATACATCAACTTCACGCTGTGGAATAATGTTCTTTTTAGCAACATCATATGACCCCTTTAATAGTTCCTATTGGTGAAATGACCCACTTTTTGGCATGTTTGCATTACAGGAAATAGGAACAGTTTTAGTTCTAGAATCTCCATTTGGGGGAACTAAATTAACCTACTTCAGAGTAGAGTCTAAACGTTTGTGAATGCAGCGAATAAAGGCGTTGCTGTTAGCCATTTCAGAGTTCCTGCTAACGGTGCGAATGCAACCAGGAAATTGGCTTGAGGGGGAAATTGGTTCTCTAGGGACCACCATGATGGCTAGTTCCTAGAACTGAGTTCCGAAAGCCCCTATAGCTAGTAGCAGTAAGGATAGTAAAGGTTGTGACAGTGAAAATGGTGATGGTGGCTATGTTAAAATGATGTAATGGTAATGATTACTTGATAGTGATGATGGAGGTCATGATGATAGTGGTTCTGCTGCTGATGATATTGTGGTTACGGATAGTGTTGCGGATAGTGGTGAATGGTGATGTTATAGTAGTGATGATGATAGTGATTGCTGTTGGTTGAATGATTAAATGACTCAACTTTTGTGAGGTGCAATTGCATTTTAGAACTTACATTGGGTTTTGAATTGGAAGTGCAGATTGCTGAATCTAGAATAGAGAGATTGGAGCTCTGTAAGCCTAAGAACAGCCTGTGTGCTTCAGTGCTCAATGTACAGTACATTCAGACTGGATGAATGCAGAACGATGGAGTGTGTGGGTAATCTGGATGTTTGGCTGTGGAAGGAGTTCTCAGACCTCTCAGAGATTCATGCTGTAGCCTGAGTAACACTAATCCATCCACCCATCAGCTCGGAGATCTGAAGCCGCATTGTGTCTTTTCCCAGTGAAGAACACAATGGAAACCTGTAAATGCGTGAATGAAAGCATGTGTCCGCGCTTTTGATGGCACATAGCTCATGGCCGAGCAGTGATTGCGGTCACATGTACAGCTTCGTTTGTGGTTCTGCAAGTATTTTTTCCCATTCATTTTCTCTATAGGTATTTCCAAAAATGATTTGAATCAAACCAACCAGCTCTGAGATTAATTATTTTGATGAATCACTTTCAACATTACAAACTTTTTTTTTTTACAAAATTTTTATTTAAATGTATTTTATGAGGCAATGAACAACACCCCATGAAGGATTTGAAAATGACTTATACAAAAGTAACTGTTCATTATACACTGCCATTCAAGTTTGGGATCGGTAAGATTTTTAATGTTGTTTTTATTGGAGTCTGTTATGCTCATCAAGGCTATATTTATTTGATAAAAAAAAACAAAAAAAAACATTAATATTGTGAAATATTGCCGTTTCTAATACTGGTTTCCTATTTTACTATACTTTAAAATTTATTTCTGTGACGCAGCACTAAATTTTCTTCAGCCATTACTTCAGTCTTCAGTGTCACATGATCCTTCAGAAATCATTCTAATATGCTGATTTATTATCAGTTTTAAAAACTGCTTAATATTTTTTTTGGAACCTTTTAAACTTTTTTCTTTGATTCTTTGATGATTATAAGTTCAAAAGAACAGCATTTATTCAAAATAAAAATCTATTAATATAAGTCTTTACTATCACTAACACATCCTTGCTGAATAAAAGTATTAATTAAAAAAAATGAAAGAAAGGAAAAATATTCTGACACCAAACTTTTGAATAGTGTATATTGTAACACACAATTTCTATTTTGAATAAACACTGTTCTTTTTAACATTTTATTGATTAAAGAATCCTGAAAAAAGTATCACAGGTCCCAAAAAATATTAAGCAGCACAACTGTTTCCAACACTGATAATAAATCAGCATATTAGAATGATTTCTGAAGGATCATGTGACACCGAAGACTGGAGTAATGATGCTGAAAATTCAGCTTTGCTTCACAGGAATAAATTATATTTTAAAGTATATTAAAATAGTTATTTTACATTTCAGTAATATTTTACAAATTTTATCGTTTTTTTCTGTATTTTTAATCAAATGAATGCAGCCTTGATGAGCTTAAGAAAACTCTTTAAAAACAAAAATCTTACTGATCCCAAACATTTGAACGGCACTGTAAATAATAAAAAATGCCCTTTAGTCATTGATAAAACATATAAAATGCAACACATTTAAAGTTAATTTTAAAACATTACAGTATATACAACGTATGTATTGTATATAATCTTTGGTATGTGTTGATATATAAGTTGTTGTAACGTGTAAGAAGACTGAATTACGTAATTTACAATGCTTGAAGGGACAGGTCTTTTACTGACTCAATTACGTCATTTGCAATGCCTCATGGGAATGGGCTTTTATTGACTTGATTGTGTAATTTGCAATGCTTAATGTGAGTGGGCTTTTACTGCTATTATCATTTTCATGGTAACGGTGACTTCTCTCATTGGTGAATCTAGCTCTCCTCAGTATTATGGGTAATGTCGTTTTTTGTGGAAATTCAGTAAATAAATACATTGTTGTTCTTGGTTCAGAGCTTATGATATGTCTGTCATTAAACGTTTGTATTTTTATCAAAAATATCAGAAATTATTT